GCAGTGTACAGTGATGTGTAGTACCACAGTACTGCAGTGTACAGTGATGTGTAGTACCACAGTACTGCAGTGTACAGTGACGTGTAGTACCACAGTACTGCAGTGTACAGTGACGTGTAGTTACTGTACACTGCAGTACTATGAGTTTCTCCTGGTAAAACAAAGGAAATGGTAATGACAAAGTTGTGTATTGCAGTAAACCTGCTGTATGTTGCGTAAGGAGGCTGTGGTAGCTCAGTGGTCAGTGCAGAGGTCTTGTAATCCGGAAGCCCCAGGTTGCATCAGAAAGGGCATTCGGCATGAACCAATTACTAAATCTCTTGTGTGATTCTGCTGATGTGGCGGCCCATCTCGAGTGCAGCAGTCAAAAACATGCAAGAAGCTACGGTACCTTGTGTACAGTGACTATTTCCGGGAAGCATCCGAGCAGGCCTTTGTACTCGCTGTTGGTCTCTAGCAGGAAGTGGAGATCCTTCTGAGGCTGAAAAAACATCACAAAACTTAAAACGGTACTTTGCTGTGTGCATGTTTGTAATCTATGTGCGCTACCTGCTGTGCAACAATGAGAGCAATTTCCTCATAGGTTTTTCCTGCAGCTGTCATAGCGTTCGTCAGTGTCTCCTCTCCTTCAACACAAACACGCCAAAGTATTTATACCTTCTCTATCGCACCACCATGTACTGTTGATCAACCTGCCTCACGTTGCCTCACCTGGATACTTGCTGCTGCTGAAGACGTTAGACAGGTTCTGAAAGGCTCGGCCGATTCGCTCGTACTCTTTAGGCAGCGCTATCTCACACAAAGGACACACACGAGACTATCGGAGGACACACTGCTTTTCAGTTCTATCAATATTCACGAGATCATTGTACTTATAAAAACAGACTGTACTAATTAAAACTGTAAATGTATAAAAACTGTAGATATAGAGAATGGACAATATATGAAATGCTTATAAAGAACCTGTTAGATAATTATAAGTACACATAATCGTGCATATATTGTGGTAATACTAACGTCCAGTGCAGCGTTTCCAGTGAGAGTTCCCAACGTTCAGCAGCTCTCGGACTCCATCGTCCATCGACTTTGTAAACCGACTGTACTGCTCACACTTCTGTTCACTACACAACACAGCAACAACACAACATTACACACTGCTGTTGTACAAACCTCACCTGCCCTGATGTTGATTCTGCCCGTCCTAAACCACATGAAGACCCAGTGAAGAAGTACTTCCTGTCTGCTCAGCAGTTAGAACTCATGCAGTCTGATGCACACAGCTCAAAGAACAGACAGGTGTTCAGATGGAAGACTTACACCTGACTCACGTCGAGTTCTGCTGCGTCAGGTTCAATCAGAGTGTACATCATTGGACCGACCGTCTCGTCTTTCTCTGCCCTCCTCTTTCCTGCCTTCCACTCCTGAAACATCCAGACTCCACGTCAGCCAATCAGGACAAAGAATCAAACGTTCTCACAGCTACCTGAGGCAGCCCCTGCAGGGGGTGTGGCCTGACCTACCCTTTCATCTTTATAAGTGACAAAGAGCTGGAAGACTTCACTCTGAGAGACAACAGGGTGACGACACATGCGCGTCATCCAGGCCTGCAAACGTTCCATCCTCATCCTGATGAAGTCCTCTTCAAACCTACCTGAGAGCACAGGTGAGACTCAAACACAGCTCAGAGGGGCACAAGTGTTAGTCTGACAGGTGTGCTGGTATCAGACAGGTGTTGGAACCAAAAATCAGCTCTAAAAATATAAACCATAAAAATCTTATTAAAATAAACACAGTTACTTTACCAGAACAAAAACAAATAAAATCATTAAATGTGGATTATTGAACATCAAATCTCTTAAATCCCTGTTAGTTAATGATCTGATAACTGATCATCATATTGATTTATTGTGTCTGACAGAAACTTGGCTACAACAGGAGGATTTTGTTGGTATAAATGAATCCACTCCTGTTAATTATTTAAATGTTCATGTTCCTAGAACAACTGGTTGAGGCAGAGGTGTAGCTTCTATTTTTCAGTCAGTACTATTAATAAATACTAAACCAATTAGTAGTAAGTCTATCCCATCCTAAATGGAAAACAGAACGATCACTCTCACTAGTTGTTATATATCATCCACCAGTCTCCCATTAGATCTATATTATCACTTGACAAAGCTGCTCTGCTGAAAAAGAAAGTAATCAATCAGAGGAGATAAGCTCCTTGGTTCAATTCTGAGCTACGTACTTTAAAGCAGGCATCTAGAAAAATGGAAAGAAAATGACGCTCCACTAACGTTGAGGAATCTTGCTTATCCTGGAGAGATAGCCTGCTAACGTATAAAAAAAGTTCTCCATAAAACTAGAACTTTATATTATTCATCTTTAATTGATGAGAATAAAAATAACCCCAGGTTCATTTTCAGTACCATAGCTAGTTTATCCTGATGCATGCTCAATAATCCAGGTAGAAAAATCAAAAAAAGTTCAATCTGGTCCTCTGGACATTCAAAAAAAAACAAAACAAAGCAAAAAAATATAGAAACGTTTCGTGTCTCATCCGAAGGACTTCCTCAGTCTGAGGTGCTGTATTCAGCTCAGTCTCTTAATTAGCACCTTCTCAGAGTGGATCAACCAGTTTGCTGCTGACAACCTGGT